TTGTTGACCTCACCAGACCTTTTGCTGAGCTGCTGTTCTGTTTCATTTCAGTTGAATTCAGTTGATCTCTAAAGGTGCTGCAGAATGCTGTTCTTGTGTGGCAGTGAATGTTTAAGATCTCTGCTGAAGAGCTGTTAAGGTGTAGTGTGAGGGGAAAGCTACTGTTGCTAACAATGTAAGCCAGCAGTAACCAGTTAAATTGTTTAATACTAATTGGTAACATTTACATTCATTTATTAGTGAAATTTGTTTTATGGCTGAACCATTTCTTTAACTGGCCCACACGTGCACCACACAGCTGGATTCAAGTGAGCGTTTTTCAATTAGTCCTCCTTGCTTTGACCTGAATTCATGGGTTTATACTAGTCACTGTTCACCCATCTTTACCTGCTTTAACAAATGACCCTGAACCTGTTGTAGAGCAGAACCTTAGATAAAACCCTTTCTAAGACTTTCTCTGCTCTGAGATGTTTCTGCTCAGGAAGTCATTTTGGCATGTCTCAATTACCTCAGGCTCTGCAAATTCTAAACATTATGCTAACTTGTTATACAGTGCTTTTTGTTAATCAGTGGTATAAGTGTTCAGTCACCACACTTCAACTCAAACAGCAGAAACTTTTACCTAGCAGCCCAGAATTCTCTGCTATTTTGTATTTGTATTTTTTTATTTATTTTTTTCGTATTATTCTGATTCTTCCGGTGGGGTGTGAATAAATATGACGTTATTTTAAACTTGATGGTATTGTTTTCAGATTGTCAAGTTCGTTCTATTGCTGTTATACAGTTGTCATACTGTCATGGGAGACTCATATTGGTCTCCCCAGCGGTATAACTGTTGAGGGAAGGGTTGCATATTGGAATCATGAGTAGGCAGAAAATTGATTCGAAAAAAAATTGATTTAAAAAAAGCTTACATTTGACTAATTTTAAACTGATATTTAACTCATACAGAGCATTTTGTTTAGATGGCACATGGCTGCTGTGTTAAAATCTGCATTTTATTCATTTTACTGCATTTGTCACCCTTCAGTAATGATAATCCTGGTAGATTTAGTCAGTTTGTGCATTTTATAAACACTTGTATATGTAAAATATTGGATATTCCCATATTTGTGCAGCCATCCCAGCTGCAATTGTGGGCTTGAATCATGGAGATGTTACAACCAAGTCAAAAGACCATTAGAACCATTTGGATTAAGACATGGTGCTTTTGCTTTTTAACGGGACTTGGTTCAATGGATCATGTTACAGATCGCTAGTTTCCTAGTTAAACCATTAGTCTGCTGTTAAACCATTAAAATCCTTTACACTGTAAAATCACATCATACCATTAGTAATGATTAGCACCACTAGGAACCAACAGACAAATTTTTTTTATTTTTTTTATTTTAATATATAAAATGGCTTTGACTCCTGGAAAGCAGAAACATCCTTGAGCAGTGGATTTTACCCCTGCTAAGGGCAATAGAGCATCAGTTTGACTTGATTCTGTTACTGATTTCAAAACACTGATCAGTATAGGTCAATATTTAAAGCAACCTCTGCTTCACCAACCTGGAGTTAAAGCAGTAGTTTGGTAAATATGATGTAAAATTCGCTCAGATGTAGTCAGTCAGCTAGGACATGTTTGGTGTCTGAGGTTAGTTTCTTTAGTTTAGCACTGGAGATACAAAGCTAGTATAGCTAACAAGTAATGTCCTGCTAATTTGCATGGTGCTGACTGCATACCTAAATCACACTTGCTTCAAACAGTAAGTAATCTCCAAAAGATTTGCTTTAATGGTTTCTAATACTGTATAGCAAACTGAAATAAATGTGGCTTATTTGTACTTAGTCCATGTCTAAGTATGCCACAGTGTCAAATAACATGTTATAGCATGTTTTTTGGTGCTAACTGGAGTGACACAAGCATTGTGGTTTTAGCTCACCAATTAATGCCAAGCTATGATCTATTACTTGTTAGCTACATTAACTTTGTTGGTCCAGTGCTAAAATGTAAGAAGCAAATTTCAGACACAAAACATGTCTTGATTTTAAGTGCATGTGAGTGTGATATTACGGTCTGCCTTAAGTGTCTCAGATTTTGACATGCGTGTGTTACAGAAGGATGCCAACCCCCCAGCAGAGTGTAAGCAGCAGTGATGGAGCTCCACCGTGGTCGGGATTCCACTGCACTGTAACGGCTTTCGAAAACATAGTTCCTTACCGCCTTATAATGTTTTGTATTTTTCTTGGTAGAAATAATTGAAAAATTACAGTTTTTGTTACAAAAAAACGACACAAACTCATTAATGGAGCTGTGGCTCGTTCATCATTTAGTATTTTACTAGACTTGTTTTGTTTGTTTTTTTTTTCTTCCTCTGTAAAATAGTTAGAATGCAGAGAAATCCCTCAAACGCATGACACTCGTTTCTTCACTGCTAAAGTAGTTGGGTTCTTGTGATGTCTTTTGTTGTATTGCTCTTAGACAACAGCTGTGGGAAGATTGTTTTGAGGCACGATTTAGGAAAGCAACTAACCATTCCCCCTCTTTATGCAGTTTAAATTATTGTTTAAGGTGCATGATGAAGGAAAATTTATTAAATTAATATTTTGGAACATTCCAGTGTGCTAAATTGCTTGGTTCAGCAAGAATTGGTAACTCATTATCGGTCTGAATGTGCAAGGAAAAGTTCAAGTATCACATTCCAGCCTGATGGGGAATTGGCTCTGCCCCTACAGCCGAGCGGGTGAAGCCAATAGCTATAGCATGACTTGCCTCTTCTACAGCTTAATTACGAATGGCTCCATATTGCACTTCCCAGTGTGCTGCTTAATTGCAGATGGCATTATTTCATGCCCTTAATAGGGAGTAGGTGAATAGGGGCTATTTGAGATTCAGGCTATTTTAGCACTTTTTCTTGTCATGCGCCAGTGGCATCTTCATGTGTAGCCTGTATCTGAGCTCTGAGGGGGTGGTTTTGGAACAAACTTTCGCACACTTTCGCTTTATTTAACTAGGGTTAACTGAAGGGAAACAGATGGGGACCAGTTTAACCCAGGTTAAGCTGCAAAGACAACAGCTAATTTAAGACTGTTGAATTAGCACTGAGCAATCAAAATTTGCAGACATCAAATTAGCACTAGCTTTTGCTGTATAGGGCTGGACCAATTAAAATGAGGCAGAAAAGGAGCTGGTTTTGAATGAACGGTTCTAATTAGCCAATTTTCACTGTTTGAAGCTTGTTTGGTTGGTAATGAACCAGCCTCTGCATAGCAAGTCTATCACTGTGAAGGGGTCTCTGTACAAGTGTGAAATGTACAGTCAGGTTTTTGTAGCCTGGTCTCTGTTGTAGCCCAGCAGAAAGAGCAATAGTGCCCCTTGGAGCTGGCCCCGATGCCCTGGGAAGGCCTCTGAGCAGTGAGTGCGCACTGCAGCTGTTGTCGAAGTGAAATGCCATGCTACAGATACTAATGTACTCAATAACTGTTCGTGGATGTATATTCATGAAATAAATGGGTTAAACGTGTGCTGTCTGAGTTTTCATTGGCTTTTCCACTTTAATTTGCTTTTCCACTTGTTCATAGTTGCTGTAACCCTTCTTAATCAGCCTCCATAGAACTGCTTATTTGCAGAGCAGAAAGGGAAAGCAAAACCTCTATATGACTTTGTTCAGGAATGGGGAGAGTTGGTGCACCATTCTTCTTGCTTGCACAAACATCTGTACAGGACAGTCTTCAGAAGGAAACCTCATCTGTGACCCCATCTCACATGTCAACATCAGTAAAATCCAAAATATCTAAATAAGCCAGAGGCGTTTCAGAAACAAGTGATGTAGACTGATGAAGTAATAATCTTCTGGCCACAATCATATGTTTGGAGAAAGGAGCAGCATTTGATGAACAGAACACCTTGCCACTTGGTAAGCACATGGATCTATTAAGCTTTGGGCTTGTGTTCCAGCCAGTGGCACTGGAAACCTTGCAGGTAGATGGAAGACAGTTCAACAGTCAAAAAGCTTAAGCTGTAAAGAGGCTGGCTTCTGCAACAGGACAATGATCCAAATCATACCTCGGAATCCTCCATGAACTCCTTCAAGACATGCAAGCTGAAGCTTTTGAATGGCCATAGCAGTGTCCTCAGTTGAACATCATTGAATAACTTGGATAGATCTTAAACATGCTGAGCATGCAAGATAGCCCAAGAATGTCGGAAAGCTAGAGGTACAATGCGAGGAGTGGATATTCCTAAGACAAGCATAGAAAGACTCCTAGCTGGCTCTGCGTGCTGGTATCACCCAAAGGGGGTGTCTTAGTAGGGTGCTCAATCACTATTTTTTTTTAAGTTTGTATAGAGTAACTGCATTAATGTTTGCAGTGATGTTGCACTTTTTTAAAAATTAGATTTATGTGCTTCTTTTCATCTCAAAGAAAAAAAAAAGTAATTAGGCCGGGGGGTCCAAACTTTTGCATAGAACTGTATTTTGCCTTCTCCCAAAGTTCAGTTGACTTGTGTCCATAATATCCAACATGCAGGCAATAATTTAAATGCACAATACATGTATTTAATTTTATTCATTTTGGTCTCTGCAGTGTCATAGACATTTTTGTCTGTAAGTTTTGCCTGTTGTAGATGCTGAAGTGCTAATAGACCGAGCAAAAAGTCTATCCATAGGTTATCAGCATCTTCCCTCTGATGGAGAGGGGCAGGCCATCAAAAAAGTACCTACTTCCTGAAAGCCCTCCACCTTAATTAGGAGTGTCCTTATGGGCTGACACTCCCTAATAGAGTGAGAAGGCCATTAATCACTCTCAGGCTAAAGTGTTTCAGCTTCAGTGACTGGGTTTGACCATCAGGAGGCAGAAGAGACTACAGTGAATCAAAGGAGGAGAGGCAATGTTGCACACAAAACCCCACCCTCAATAGCCCCTTACAAAGGAAAGGGGGAGGAGCTCCACTTGGCTCCACCCTTTCCCAGCTCATGTTTGCAGTTTCAGCTCCAGCAGCTCCAGTCAGGCAGCATTCAGCACTGAGCACAGAGCAGCTGGAGGAGAGAGAGAGAGGGAGAGAGACATCGGAGCAGCACAGCGGCACTGAGGACACACCACACCACCACCCCCCCATCCCTGGAAAATTCCCGTGCAGAACCTCCAGCATGCTGGAGAGCCGGGTGCTGAAGGAAGGTTTGCTGGAGAAACGCAGCGATGGCCTGCTGCAGCTGTGGAAGAAGAAGCACTGCAGGCTGACGGAGGAGGGGCTGCTGTTAAACCCCCCCAAACCCCCCCAGCAGCAGCAGCAGGAGGGGAGTGGGGGGCAGGTGAAGGAACTGCACTTCGCCAACATGAAGACGGTGGACTGTGTGGAACGTAAGGGGAAGTACGTGTACTTCACGGTGGTGATGAGTGAGGGCAAGGAGATAGATTTCCGGAGCCGTCAGGATGATGGCTGGAACGCGGCGATCACGCTGCAGATGGTGCACTACAAAAACAAACAGGCCATCCTTGCCGTGCGCTCCACCAGGCAGAAACAGCAGCTGCTTGTCGTCCAGCTGGCTGGACAGAAAACAGCCGCCAGATCACAAGAGGCAGCGTAAAATGTACAGGTGAGGAAGAAGAAGAGGAGGAGGAAGAAGAGTTTCAGCTTGTGTTCATTTCAAATTCAATACATCCCCCTTTAAACCAAACAAGGGAATATCTCTTCAAGGACAAACAGCATTTACGGGCTCATACTTACAATGGGAGCATGGCCTTTGGCGTTGCTTTACGCTTGTCTTTAATTTCAGGGGTTTTCATGACCTTTGACCTTGGTTTTAGGTTATCTTTCATCTCAGGGTGGTCGGTCACCAGCCTGTCCACATATTCACACAAGTCCACATATTTTAATGCATGGCTTGAATCAAAAAGGTGGCAAAATAAATTACCAAAATTTGCATGAAAGTGTTTGCTCACTGGAGGTGGATAAACCTTGTGTGTAGCGAATGAAGACAAACATCATATGACTGATCGTATGACACTAACTGATGTTAGGTTGTTTTCACACTTGTCCCGAATACTTGAGTCCGCACCAAGGACTGATTCTGGGCTCGTTTTGGGGAGGGGCTTGTTAAGGCCGTTTTGCTTTTACACCCAAGAATTCCACCCGAACCGTGAATCAATTCCTTGCATCACTTTTCTGCGTGGTTTGTGAAATGGTGAGCACTAGCCTTATCTTAATAAACTTGAAAAGGGAAGTATCATAAGTCGAAGCAGTCACATCACAAAATGAACCAATCACTCAGTGCCACACACGGTGCCAGGAGCGGATAGCTTCCACACACAACGCGGACCATACCAGAGCTTGCTGGAAGTAACCCTCAGGCCACCGATTTCAGGAGGACCAGAGATCGGTTCTCTGGACCACTCAGGCGCTCGAAAACAGCTTTCACACTTCACTAAACATACCGAATTCGCAGAGCAAGCGGACCTGGGTCCAGAAAAAGCTCTAGTGTGAAAGCTCCCTTAAAGCTCATTTATGCTCAACGATAAATACGGATATGGGCAAAGCCCTCTGTCTGTACTCTGCCGTTATTTTGTCTGTACTTGGGTATGTTCTCTGAAAGCTTACGGATACAAATCAAACGGAGCAGTACTCTCGGTCCACCTGTCAGAAAGTATTTAATGGCCTTACAGTCTACACTGGTGCCGCTTTCGTTTGGTTTGTAGTTGGTACATTATTACGATCTTCTCTACCGTTGCCATGTTTGTTGTCAGAAACTTTTTACTCTGGACTGCCCTCTAGTGGATGTACTTCTTAACATCCATGCCAACGTAAAGGAAATGTGTAAGTTTGTGGGCAGTGATGGTTACATCATTTGAAACGGATGTGTTCTTTTTTGTACTTTTAGTGTATTTATGGCAGTAGCTACGAAATAATGAGACTGCGGTTGACTTTGGTGCAGAAGTTACATGCTGGCACCTGTAAGGGGTGATGTGGCTTCCACTGTTTCATTTAAAAATGTTTTATGACCTTCATATAAAGCGTGTCTCAAAGTAAAGGACGAACTACTTCACATTATAAATGGTATACAAAGGCTCCCCTTCAGTACTCGGATGTATTCAAGAAGCTCCGAGCAAGCTGAACTGACACGTCATGGTTTACTCATTTAAGTATTAAGTTCAAAAACATTTCACATTTCGTTACACAGTCTTTGCCACAGCGTCTTGGCATTCAAGGCTTTTTCCGCCGTTTTTTTTTTTTTAAACGGTTGGCAGGGCAGCCTTCGTTGATGTAACGTCCAAGAATCACAGCCTTCCTCGGCTCCGTCCTTGGCTATGATCTACATCAGTAGACACCAGCCCTCCTACTGGAGATCTGCTTTTTGCAGGTTTCACCTCCAATCCAAATTGAACACACCTCCTTTAGCTAAACAAGGGCTTATGAAAGTGATAATTAGATGGATCAGGTGAGGTGGATTAGGGTTGCAGCTAAAGTCTGCAGGAAGGTAGATCTTGAGGAGCAGGGTTGGTGACCGCTGATCTACACAGTCACTGTGACGAATTGTAATTCTCTACAGGAAGTGTAGGGGGCGATATGGTTATTGTTTCATTTAAAAAGTGGTTTATGATGCTCTATAATGTTCATATGATCCACAAAGTCTTGCTGATAGATTGTGATAACAGGAAGTTTAAGGTGTGATTTGGCTGTTGTTTCATTTATGAAGTGCTTTATAATACTCTATAATGTTCATGTGATCCAGGTGGTCATTCTGACAGACAGTGGGTGGTATGACTGTTTTTATTGTTTCTCTGAACCACAAAAGAAGAAATTGTTATCACATAGTAATCGAGAGATTGTATAATTATTTGTTAGTTGTAACTCTAATCAAGTGTATTTGGGCAGGAAATCACTAAACTGTGCTGGACTAAAGCCTTACAAAACTGGACCTGGACACTCCTGATTTCGTTTACTGTCATCTGCTCTGATCTGGTGTGAAAGTGCAGTATTTACAGCAACCATGATTAACAAGGGTGTAAATCTGACCTCGTTATATGGGTCCATGATATGGGAAAAATATTTCACAATACTCAAAGATACTTTTATGATACTTTTATGTATCACAATGTTTAGTTTTGCTAATAAGTTGAAACAGACAAAAAAGAACCAGCAATACCACATTTAAAAAGACTACCAAAACGAGTACATGAGTACAATTCTTTAATTCAGATTTTCTCATTCAGCTGCACTAAATGCAGTTAAACAGGACTAATTATGCTCTCTTTGTACTGATCAGTGCTCTTTGAGTGTTCCCTGGGCATTTATCATGATATCGGTAACATATTATATTGCCCACCTCTTGGGCTGGGTATTGTTGAAAGGTTTTTGATGCCAGTACTAATATTAATACGTTGACTTCAGTACTGCTTCTTGGCCTTTTTTTAACTTCAAACAGAAAGTGGATGTGGCTTGAACCAGAAATGCTATTCTAAAAACAGCAGTTGACACATCAATATACCTTTCTAGGTCACAATCTGGCACATTTATTGTTGATGTAGTAGCGATTGATGTACTTACTGCAATTTAAAACAAGCTGCTTCCACACTGACTGGATGTGAGTTATCTACCCATACGTTATGTCAACTTGTATGTTTGCAAACCTTCTAATTTGGTCTGTAAGCTTTGTTTTAAATTTGAAATTAGCCTGAGAATTTTATTTTGGCCAAAAATAAATGAATACTTTGTTGAATATTATTATAGTCTGTTATAATTTATTCTAACATTCTAAAACAGAGGCCCCCTTCAGATGAATGTATATGTACACTTTTATCTCATACTGAGTGTGCATCCTGTGGTGTTTGTGTGCAGGCTTTTATGGATATCTCACTGACTGTTGGTGGACGCTCCTGGTTCCGTGCTGACCTGCAGACTCATCCACGGATTTCCCTGCTGGAAAAACCACAGAGATCAACCTGGAGCTCCAGCAGCATCCTGAAACACTCTCAGAGTGGACAATAACGGGGTTTCTGGAACCATCTCTGCATTATTTATTTATTTGTATGTGTGTAGATTTTGTCAGATTGTTTTTACATGAATGTTTGTCATATGACTGAAGGTTTGCGTTCTGCACATGTGCTACACTCCACATTAGCTGAAATGCAGTGTAGGCCTGTGAAACAGTTTCAGCACTGTTTCTATTATTTTGTCCCTCTGGATTAAGATCCACTAACAGATGGTTATCATTACGTCATTTGATTTGGAAATGCATGTAAATATGCGGAAAACTCTACAACTGCTTCCTATTCTGTTATCAAACCAAAGAAGCTACAATACAGATCGCAGTAAAGACTGAAAAGTTCAACAGATGTATGGGTCAGATTTTGGATTGTGATCATTATTTAATTATTGAGTGCAAATTCTCTGCATTTGATTGGAGCAGCATTCAGAAGACTTTCATATTCATAAAAACTGTGCTTTTGCCGAAATCACCCAAGTAATCAAGGCGATAGTTTGGTGAAAAATCAAATTGTCCCCCTTACCCCAAATGTAGTTTAGATATCTGAAGTTTTCTTCTTTAGTTTTAACACTCGAGCTACAAGTCTAATTTAAACAACAGGCAATGAAAGCTTATATCCAACCAATTAGCATGGTGCTAACGGCATGCCTAAATCATCAAACACTTCAAACAGTTATCTATATTAGTTTTATAGCTCAAGTGCTAAAACTAAAGAAGCACACTTCAGACACCAAATATGTGTATTACACTTGGGGTAAACTGGGAGAAAACTGGGTAAATTTGACTTTTGTCTGAAGTATTTCGGTAAGACGGACTGTGTGACTGAAAGAACACTTCAAAAACACATTTGGTCTGTCTGAGGGATCTGCATCTTTACACTCTGCATTAGATCTTTATTCTTTTGATGTAAAGATCAGTGTGTCAGTTTTTAACACAGCCAGCTGTGTGAAACTGTGTTCTGTATGCCGAAGTTAAAGCTGCTTTCATACCTCTGAAATATACATTCCATTTCAAACACACACACACTGCCTCCTTGCTTTTCTTATAAACACACCCCAGCTAGAAAAAACAGCATATGTTGCATTTTGGATGCTGATCCACCAGCATTACTACGCAGGGTGACCAGCTGAAGCAGCTGCCCATTAGCTTTTGGATGTTTTCTTGTTCTTTTTCAGTGAAGTAAGGTTTAGTGATCATAAAGCAACTATATGCTACTCTTTAACACTCAGCTTCATGTTCATCAAAATGTCTTCCTAGGTATGAAGAGGTTTGTCCTAAAAAATGAATTACCTGTTAATGACTGTTATCTGGATTACAGGTAGTGTTAGCTGAGTAAGATTTCAATGGGTTAAGAGTTTAGCTGGGTTACAGTTGAGTTACAATGCCATTTCCAAAAAAGTCAGGATGCTGCGCAAAATGTAGATAAAATCAGAATGCAATGCTGATTAGCACAAAGACAGGGCGGCACGGTGGCGCAGTGGGTAGTGCTGTCGCCTCACAGCAAGAAGGGCCTGGGTTTGATTCCCAGCCGGGTGACCAGGGTCATTTCTGTGTGGAGTGTGCATGTTCTCCCCGTGTCTGTGTGGGTTTCCTCTGGGTACTCTGGTTTCCTCCCACGGTCCAAAAACATGCAGTCAGGCTGATTGGACGTGCTAAAATTGCCCCTAGGTGTGAGTGTGTATGTCTGTCTGTCTGCCCTGCGATGGACTGGCGACCTGTCCAGGGTGTATCCTGCCTTCTGCCCAATGACAGCTGGGATAGGCTCCAGCACCCCACCGTGACCCAGAAGGATAAGCGGTTTAGATGATGGATGGATGGATAGTACAAAGACAACATATCAAATGTTGAAACTGAGAAATTTTATTGTTTTCGAAAAATATATGCCCATTTTGAAAATGAAGCCAGTAAAACGTTTCAAAAAAGTTGGGACGGGGGCATGTTTACCACTGTGCTGCATCACCTCTACTTTAACAGCACTTTGTAAGCGTTTGGGAACTGAGCAAATGAATTGCTGTACTTTTGAAAGTAACATGTTTCCCCATTTCTGCTTGTTATAGGATTTCAGCTACTCAACAGTTTGGGGTCTCCTTTGCTGTATTTTCTGTTTTATAACTGTGCGCTGATAACAAACCTGATGGTCCTTCTCTTCTTTAGCCCAGAGGACAAGGCATCGATGTTTTCCAAAAAGAATTTAAAGTTTTGAATTGTTGGACCACAGGACATTTTTCCACTTTGCTACAGTCCATCTTATATGATCGTGGGCCCAGAGAAGACAGCAGCAGTTATAGATCCTGTTTCTACAGTGGCGCTTGAAAGTTTGTGAACCCTTTAGAATTTTCTATATTTCTGCATAAATTTGACCTAGAACTTCATCAGATTTTCACACAAGTCGGAATAGCAGATAAAGAGAACCAAATTAAAGAAATGAGACAAAAATATTTGACTTGGTCATTTATTTACTGAGGAAAATTATCCAATATTACATATTTGTGAGTGGCAAAAGTATGTGAACCTTTAGGATTAGCAGTCAGAGTCAGGTGTTTTCAATTAATGGGATGGCAATCAGGTGTGACCACCCTGTTTGATTTAAAGAACAAGGATCTATCACAATCTGATCTTCACAACACATGTTTGTGGAAGTGTATCATGGCATGAACAAAGGAGATTTCTGAGGACCTCGGAAGAAAAGTTGTTGATGCTCATCAGGCTGGAAAAGGTTAAAAAACCATCTCTGAAGAGTTTGGACTCCACCAATCCAAGCATTACTGCTCAACCAACAAAGATCACACCAAGTGCAAGGTGTGTAATAGTCTGCGAGGTCACAAAGGAACCCAGGGTAACTTCTAAGCAACTAAAGACCTGTCTCACAGTGGCTAATGTTAATGTTCACGAGTCCACCTTCAAGAGAATACTGTGTGCATGGCAGGGTTGCAAGGGGACGGTTGATGGGAGGACGGTTGAGACCAAAATAGCTCTTTTTGGTTTAAAAAACAAAAAAAACACTGCATTTCAGCATAAAAACCTTATCCCATTTGTGAAACATGGTGGTGGTAGAATGATGGTTTGGGCCTGTTTTGCTGCATCTGTGCCAGGATGTCCTGCCACCATTGATTTAACAATAAACTCTGAATTATACCAGCAAATTGTAAAAGAAAATGTCAGGACATCTGTAGGTCAAGTGAAACTCAAGAGAATATGGGTCATGCAGCAAGACAACAACCAAGCACACAAGTCATTCATCCAAAGACTGGTTAAAGAAGAAGAAAATGAATGTTTTGGAATGGCCAAGTCCTGACCTTAATTCTATAGAAATGTTGTGGAAGGAACTGAAGCAAGCGGTTCATGGAATGAAAACTCACCAACATAACAGAGTTGAAGTTGTTTTGTATGGAGGAATGGGCTAAAATTCCACCAGGCCGATGTGCAGGACTAATCAACAGTTACCGGAAACGTTTACTTGCGGTTATTGCTGCACAAGGGGGTCACACCAGATACTGAAAGCAAAGGTACACATACTTTTGCCACTCACAGATATGTAATATTGGATAGTTTTCCTCAATAAATAAATTATCATGTCTAATATTTTTGTCGCATTTGTTTAATTTGGTTCTCTTTATCTACTATTAGGGCTTCTTAGAAAATCTGATGAAATTTTAAGTCAAATTTATGGAGAAATATAGAAAATTCTAAAGGGTTCACAGACTTTCAAGCCAATTGACACATCAATACCTTAAAAAACAAATAATAGATAATATAATAAATAGACAATAAATACAAAATAAACAAGAGACACTGAAGTGTACTGGTGCATAAAAGTATGTATATGTATATGCAAAATGTGCAAAATACAGCAGCTTGGAATAACACTGAAGTGCAGTGTGCATATAGTTTAAATTGTGTTGTTTTCATGAAATGAAACAAACAATCCACCACAGTTTGGTGGTTTCTCTGCTCTAGCACAAGAACCAAACCTGGTATTTAGCTAAATCAGATGTGCTTGAGTCAGAAAATCACCAAACTGTGCAGGAATCTGGCCCTCCAGGACTGAAGTTGTCTGCTCTTGCTCTATAACCTGCTGCATGTTGACAACAAATGTAGCAAAGTTCCAGAAATATCTAGATTATTTGGTGTCCAAAATATTTTCACCACCAGCTGATTTGTTAGTGATGGATGAGTTTCTCATTTTCTTACAAATTCTGTAAGCAGCTAGAGGACTGAGAATAATTTCTGGTATGTCATCAAAAATATTTTGGTATGTCAATAAGAAAACATTTTAATATTTTAACTCAGTGGTTCTCAAATTCATCCTCAATATTCCCAGGTTTTCCATGTTTAATGTTAATTTTTATGTTTAATGTTTATTCAAAATCAGGTTGATCACAACTAGACTGTAAGTATATCTGAGGGGTAATGACTGGATTATACACACCCCACTCCACAGAATGATCTGATAGTGTAATTGTTTAAGACCTGCCTGAAATCTAGAAACCTTTTGCAATTGTTCTTTCAGGGGTGGGCAAATTGGCCTCAAATTGGTCCTGAATCTTTCATTTATAGCTCGTAAATAAGAACTTTTTTGGGGTTGAAAATCGAACTCAAACAGTTCAGATTAAAAACAAATATGGAAGAGAGCCATTATATAATATCTGATTATACTTGCTTTATGAGTTTTATGTTTTCATTCAATTTCTGCTAAACATAATTTAAATACAGCTGAAGTAATATGTTTACATTCATCTTAGTCACATTCATTTAAACTCAGTTCACAATTCCTGACATTTGATCCTAGCACACGTTCCCTGTCTTAGGTCAGTTAGGATCACTGCTATATTTTAAGATTGTAAAATGTCAGTACAATACCAGAGACAATGATTTATTTCAGCTTTTATTTCTTTCATCACATTCCCAGTGGCTCAGAAATTTACATACACATGGTTAGTATTAGGTAGCACTGGCTTTAAATTGTTTCACTTGGATCAAACGTTTCAGGTAGACTTTCACAATAAGTTGCTGGAATTTTGGCCCATACATCCTGCCAGAACTGGTGAAACTAAGGCCTCCTTGCTTGCACACACTTTTTACATTCTTCTCATAAATTTTCAATGTGGTTGAGGTCAGGGCTTTGTGATGGCCACTCCATTACCTTCACTTTGTTGTCCTAAAGCTATTTTGCCACGACAAGTATGCCTGGGGTCATTGTCCATTTGGAAGACTCATTTGCACCCAAACTTTTTTTCCTGGCTGAAGTCTTGAGCTGTTGCTTCAGTATCTCAACATAATTTTCTGACATGATATCCTATACAACTTGCTAATATTTGTTGACATGGCATCTGTGGAGGGGATAAATACGAGTTTCAATGACTTCAATCTAAGTGTATGTAAATTTATGACTTCAGCTGTAAATGAACATTAAGCCTGTGAGTCACTGGCCTTTACCAACTCCATTTTCATACCTTTTTCTTTGCCATTTAGTATAAAATGTTGTGCAGAATGTGGTGATATTAAACAGTGATTAAACACTTTTGGTCAGAAATAGGTGAGAATATGACCTGAATTTATAAACTTTTCCAGCAAAAATAACACATTAAAGTGAGTAATTAATAAGGTCCTTCACAGTGACCACACTGGTACAGTCACATTCAACTGAACGTTATCTTTTTTGTTTTACATGCTCCCTCCTATTCTAGTACAGAGTGTATATCAGTGTGACGCAGGAAACACTGGAGACACCAAACTGATTTAAACATTAATCCGCAGAATCTGCACTGTAAGCAGAATGACTGATGAACGGATCTCCAAACCGGACACACAGCAGTGGCCTGTTACACTTACTGATTGACTGAATTCAGGGTAAACATGAATCAACATTATTTTCTTACAAAAAACACACAGTTTAATTTGCTTTCATCAGGCAGTGTCTGGTCTTATTTGTAGACGAAGCCCTGGAGCTGCTTTCACCTGCTCACGTCCTCTTCTCTCCAGACTGGGAAATTCAAGACTTAAGCTGTGGGACATTTCA